AGCAATGAATGATTAATAAAGATGAGAAATTTAAACAGCATTATTGCTAATTTGAACGCATTACACTAACATTTTGCACTCTCTTCATCAACTCTCTTTGAACACAGATTTGGTAGTTGGCTCAGAAACTGGTAGTTAGTTGATCCCTTTTATCAGTATATTAAAATTTTCACACCCCTTTCACTTCTCACAGTGAATATTGCTGAAGAATGATTATTTCTTTGTAGTTTGCCAAATCTTGTCACAAAATTTTAATATTGTCTTACATATTAAACTTGTACAAAGAAGATAGACACAAAATTCAAAGTAAAAGGATCCAATTTTTTACTATACTACTTTCTCCCATATCAGAATGTTGCAAAAGTAGCAAATAAATCCAAAGTTGCCTCCAACTTTACCACTCAGCTTCTTGCTAACTTTCCAAAGCCAATAAAAGTTAATTGATTCTGCAATGAAGACAGCAATTTTGCTACAAAGAGTGGTGTTGAGCTGTCTAAGAGTGACACTCATCACCTTCTGCTATGTGGATTCAGGCTCTCAGCCCAACATCAGTGTCGTGATCTATGGGTGGTACCTTTCATATTTCGAAACAAATTACATTCAGAAAAGATCTTCACATTACACCAAATGCTTTTATCATGCTTGATGTTACTTATCATCTGCAATCACTCTGGAAAGGTAAAATTGTGATCAAACTTTCACTTCAAAAAAAGTTAAACACAGTAGATGCATACCCTTAATCTCTTGCTTTTGGCATTGATCACAAAAGTTCCAACAAGATAGACTTCAAAGATAAAAGAAAAAAGAAAGGATCATATTTATATACTGGTATTAGTAATAACACCAGCAAAAAAAAGAGTTTCTTTTGTGCCGAATACGCAGTAAAGGGGTTCACATGACAATAAAAGTTTCATAATGAGAAAGAGAGTGAGAACTTTTGCTTTGCCACCATGAGTCTCCTTAGCAGCTTTAGACTGCAAAGCGTGCGACTGAGAAATGGAATAAAAAAATCACCAAACATTAGTGGGGTTGGCATGGAGAAGAATATCGAGGTCTTGCACCACATCTCATGTTGTAAAGATTCTAGTTCCACCCTATAAATCTTACATCATTGCATAGTTGAATCCAGTAGCAGCATTCACATTGTATATTGTTGAAAATCCTTCTTTTTTCCAACTTACCATGTCTAATTTCACATTCAACAATAAAACTGGTATTAGAATACAAAACTGGTAATCATATATAATGACAAATTGACAACACAAACACAAAAACATTATCTTAAGGGGATGTATTTTTTTTTTATAAGAGTGGATCAGAGGGAGAAACTATTAGACCTCGGAAAAACAAAAGAGAAACAAAACAAAAAGATATATAATGCAAGACAATGCTCATCATAATGAATATAAGATAACAATCAAATGGCAATAGCTGGCTTTTCTTTTTGTCACTTTTTGGTTGTGCAGCAATTGGTAAACATATATGTATATATATATATATAACAGTGATTATTATATATGGAATTCATGAAGAAATGTGTGAAATGGGGTTTGAGCCAAACAGTGAAAAACACTTTAGTCTTTTTAAAGTTACAGATGATATATATATATGGAAAATGATACTTTGATCTCCTAAATCCATACAACTCCTCTAAACAACTCTGTTTTAATATTATAATAATAATTTTATTTTATTTTTATTTTTATTAAATCAGTCTATAGATTATTATATTAATAAAAGTGAGTTCTAATAATTTTATTTTATTTTTATTTTTATTAAATCGATCTATAGATTATTATATTAATAAAAATGAGTTGGTTGAAGAGTTGTATGATTTCTAGTTGTCAAAATATACCTACTATATATATATATTTTTGCATATATTTTACAGGTTGTGTGAGTGGGGACACAATTATGAATTAGAGAAACCAAAATGCATAAAATATCTTATGAACAGTGTACTAAATTGGAATCTATGGAAGTGATGATTTACCTGCCTTGTAAACCGAGCCATTCAATCTAAGCCTTACGTTACGGTTTCATGGATATTGGAAATTCTCATGATTTCATGTTTCTGCTTCATAATTTAAAATTACCACAAGCACAACTTACTAAATTCTGAGTTATCATATAAGGATTATCATTTTGATTTTTTTTTCTGAAATTAGGGTATCTTTAGTGGAGAATTACTAATTTCTCCAAGCATTGAGATTCATTTAAGGACTGAAATGTAATGACCCACTTCCATGCCTAAACAATAATTATTATCATATTTTTTTATTTTATAGTATATTTTCCACCAAAATTAATAGTTAATTTATTAATTTAACCTTTTCAATCCTTCTTTTTTTTATTATTATTATTATTCATAAATTATAGTACAATTGATTATTTATATTATCTACAATTTGATTATTATTATTATTATTATTAATTTAGAATACATATTATGAATAAATTATTAATTATAAAGTCTCGTAAATATTCTACCTCTCTAATATGAATGTTTTTAATATTTAAAATCTTTGATATTCCTTTTAAAATATATAATATTTGAAATAATATCTGCTTATTTAAATCAATGCATTGATAAAATCAAGTATCGTAAAAATAGAAAAAAAAAATCATAATCGTGTTTTGCACGGTGCGAAAAAACCTAGTTTATATACTCGGTATCTGGTGAATAAAACTCAGACCAGAAACACTGACATCTATGCTTTGGACAGCTTCCTGATTCCATGTGAATATTTTTGCAACGACAATTTTACCACATATTAACTCTGAGATCATGTCAAGTAATTTAGGATGATTATATTACTAAAATAGCAAACATCAATGGTATGTAACTACCTTATATCATCATCATAATCAAATTGTCTCACTTATAAATTCTAACTCTACTTCTCTGTGTCTGTTATTCTACCAAAATTATTTTCTTCAATTGATAACCAAAATGCTTACATGTGACCAAACCATTTTAGACCAAGGTGAAAACATGTTATTTAACTCAACTGCTGAGACAAGGAAAGTCCATGAAGATGAATCTACTTGCCCATTCTGTTATTTGGTGATTGAATCTGCAAACCACCTAACATTTGGTTTTTCTTTGTTTTATAAGGTGTGACAAAGATGTTATAAATGGTGAGTTTAGCTAATCCTTTGCCTATTGATGGTGCATCTCATTCGGGGCAGCATCTAAGAAAGTGGAAGGAAGAGAGGCAAAACGCAAATTCTGCTTTATGGTGCAAATGAATGAAATTATTTTCAATAACAGCCAACCTTGTGGAGAAAGTATTTGAGAATGTAGAATTTAAATCATGGTATTGGGTTAAAACTATGTTTAAAATGTTTTTTTCGTATACCACTAATAGAATTTAAATCACGTTATCAACTACTGATAACTGATATAAAATTACTGATGTAACGTTATGGTATAAGCAACTTCAGATTCAGTTTTAAAAAAACCAGTGTACAGCCTTGACTTTTTTCTATTCCTGTTGTTTTGTCCTTGACAAGAGTGGAGCACAATTTAGTTTAAAATGAAACTTTGCAATATAAAATAGGTGATGAGGCCATGTGATGTGATATGCTACCATAGCCACAATTTGTTCCAAGACATATCGATGAGGAAAAAAGAGAAAAAGCCTATTACTCTGGCTTTACTTTTATGACTATCAACATGGACTAAATCTTAATTATGACCCCATAAATCTACAATTTAGTTGCAATTGATGTAATTCTTCAACATGGATTAGCTTGTAGTGTTCTTTATCAAGTTGGAAACTATTTGTATTGAAATTGGTTATGGGACTGTTTCATATTGTGCAGATAAACTCCATTTCTCTTGTAAAAGATATATATAATCTCTGCCAAACTATTAATTCATCTAAAATTACATAAATCTCAATTTCTTTTATAAACTCTTGCAAGGTTAAACTTGAATGTTGATGTATAAAGACTTATCTCTTAGGATTCTTTTTTTTTTTTTTCTGAAATACTTCCAAACAAATAGTTCATTAGTTCATCAATCATCATCTAATTCCAAAAGAAAATTATTTAACTTTGCCGTATATTGTTTAACTTTACCCTCCAATAATTTGTCACAAGGAAACACAAGTTGCTGTCAAGACTTGGAGAATAGAACACTGCTATCGAGTAATGACACGATAAAATTCCAAAATTTGTCTTCTGCTACTACATACTAACAAAAAAAATATGGGTAGATGATTTATCATGGCACCACATAATTCGTTTCCATAATTAGGTGAAGGACTTTAAACAAAGATGATTAAGAAATAGAATATTACAACAACTGCTAGGGGAAATAATTAAGCCATGGGCAGTTCTGTGTTCTACTCCAACCCTTCCCAATGTCATGTATTACCTTCACTCACTCTTGGCATGTGTATGTTTATATAATCATAGTAAAATTATCTGAAAACAACAAACATGACAGATTTGAAATTACGGAGTGTTTTGTTTGCTGATAATTATAAATTTATCTTATCTGAGTAAAAGATTCTTGATATGGAGATACATAGAACGAAAAGGATAGATTAGGAAAGTGACAATAGAAAATTACCAGAGTGAATTCTTAAAAGACGAAACACCTACCTATACCTCAATCTCAATCCAACTCATCTTTCCCACGAATGATGTCATCATGAAGCTATGTATGTGCTAATTCCTAACGAAACTTTATAGAGGTAAATGAGGTAAATTACCAACTGAGTTGCGCTCAGATCTAAATGAGGTAGAGCATAGTGCCAAACTTAGCTCAACCCCACCACCTTTTTTGCACCCTTTATTTCCCTTTCCCTTTCCTAGCTTGTGAGTTCTGACCCAGCAGAGGCCATCACGCCCATACCATACCATCCCAATATTCTCTTCTTTATGGTGGGAGAAGAGAAACAAGAGACCAACCACATTCACATTCACTCCACACCCTCCTTTCCCCTTTCTCTTGGCCATTGAGTGTGTTAGACTCTCTTAAACTTACTATGACACTGACACTACCTCCTCCAAAATCACCATTCTTGAAGACCCTTTTCTTCCTCTTTACTTTCCTCCCTTGCTACCTTGCTCTCCCTGACCCTGATGCTGCTGCTTCAGCATCACTTCAGCCTATCATCGCAAACCCTTCTTCCACAGGCACAATCCCTGCATTCCCGGAACAAGCTGAGGTTGAAGGGTGCCCTCTCAACCTCTCAGATGAGCACTATGAAGGGATAAAAAGTGCATGTGGCTCCAACAAAGACGCTGCAGATAAGGACCTCCACCGTAGCAGATGCTGTCCAGTGCTTGCTGCGTGGCTCTATTCTGCTTACTCAACCACCGCCCTTAGTGGTGGAATGAAACATGAACGTGCCTCACAAGGCCATACCACATCCTATGACATGCCCTTGTTGCCTGATGATTCAGAAACATGTGTGAGTGACTTGGGGAAGGCCTTGAAGGTTAGAGGAATCCAGCTTGTTCAGCCTAATGAGACTTGTGATGTGGTGTATTGCTACTGTGGCATTAGGCTGCACCCTTTGACCTGCACTGAGTCTTTTTCAGTTACTCCAAGTGGGAGTCTTGTGGTGGATCAGAGTGTTAAAAGATTGGAAAGGGATTGCTTGAGTAGCAGCACCAATGTCAATAAATTTCCCGGCCTAGGAGGATGCTCCAAGTGCTTGCATAGTCTCTATTCAGTAAGTTTTTAGCTACTTTCTTCATATTTTGTTCTGGGGAGTGTTCTTCTTTTAGCATTATTCGTTTGGAATGTGATGGATAGATAGATCTTAGATCTTTGAATATGATGATCCAGGTTTCATCTTAATTAAGTCTTTCATCTTCATGATTGATGATTGGAAAAGTTTTTTCTTTTTTTCTTTTGTCCTTTCTTTACTTTGAGATAGTGGTTAGAGTTGGTTTGATTGGCACTTACTTTACGCGCCTTTGGATTAGTGTATCTCACGAACGCTTACAGAAACATTATCAGTGTACTGTGCATGTACGCTTTAGTTATTTGAGAGTTTGTGAAATGAACTTCGGTCAAATGATCGAATGTCTTCAAATCATGTGTGCGTACAACAGATTTAGCACATGTAATGTCCCTATATTGTCTTCAAAATAAATAGAAGTTCTTACATTCTTGGTGCTAAGACATTTGTGCTGCTAGCAATTAGCATTAAAACCAGTTATGTCGTTCACGAAAAACAAGCTGTAGTAAAACAAGCCGTTGTTCACGAGAAAAGTTTTGTTTCTTAAATGCAATAAACATTACAATAAATCTAGTCTGCTTGTTCTTGGCACGGGCCATTAATGATGGTTTAAGTGTAGAGACTTAGTTGTCCTTTAAATTCATTGTTTTTCCCCTCACATGAGGCTACCCAGTAAATGCAGTAAAACTGAGATTGTCCCTCTGATTCTTCTGAAGCATTTACATATTGCCTGACACATTTCCTGCTTAACTCAGATTTTGGCATTAGCTGATATAATCTCTGTAGCCATACCATACTTGGATTTATCGTTCCTGCTTCTGATTTGATTTAGCAATCTGCTAAAAAAATGTCCCTTATGCCTATTTTTCCATATATAAAATTCCATGAATTGTTTCAGAATCTTAAATTTATCATTTAAAAATTCTGGCTTTCATTTAAGATGTTCTGAATATTGTTCAGGGTTGTTGCTTCACAAAAAACAAACTAATCATAGCATAATGTCCCAGTATTATAATCTTCATACAATCCTATCTATTAAAGCGACACCTTTCCAAGCAAAATAATTAGTTGGGTTGATACTTCTCCTATGAGCTATTTTGGTAAATAGATGATGGCATTGATGATGTGCAGCTTTGACCCTTTTTCTAGGAGTGGATGTTACACCAATATAATAAAGACTGTTATTTAACAAGCCTTTACTTGTACGCAGCTTAGAAAGAAGTCTTCAAATTCAAGCAAGTCAGAAGACAGGACCACCAAGATCCATAACAAGGACTGTGAACTGATGGGCCTAACATGGCTTCTGGCTAAGAATCGTACAGCTTACATTCACACAGTTTCTGGGGTTCTTCGAGCTTTGATGTTGAGCACAGAAGGCTCTGACCCACAATCATGCACTCTAAACAGTGATGGAATGCCTCTTGCCGTTGATTCCTCTGAAATATCAGATCAATCTTCATCAACCTACCTCCAAGCACCAACTTTTCTCTCTCTGTTATTACTAGGAATGCATTATTTCACTGTATTATCCACCTAACCCAAATGTGAACAAGAAGATTGATCCCCCACAACATGCCATTTGTAAATTTGAATCCGTGCTTAGTCCTTAGTTCTGTAATTTTTTTGTCTTGGGTGTGTTAATTGAAATTGGGTTAATGTGTTTGATACAAAGTTCATAGTGATCTGATTTTGGTGGGCCTAGATTGGCATGTGCTAATAGCGACCAGTGCTTGTTTTTGGAGGGACAAAATTGGATGTACATTGAGTGGGTTGTGGTGGCATTATTTTTAGACAGTTGTATGTTTCACGGGCGACTTATCATTTAGGGGGAACGTTTACGTCTCCACCACCATTTTCATATCTTCTCTTGTCAATTCTTTTTGCTTTGTCCTCTCAATTATACCAGGGATAACGATGCATCACCACTTCAACATGGAGGTGTTGGATCATAAATGAAGTTGAAAATTCAAGTTGAGTAACTATAAATAATGGTTGGATTCAATCTATTGGTTAGTGTCAATGGTTGGATTTCTTTGATTAAAATTGGGTCTGGCACGTGATTTTTCAAATTGGAATTTGATTCTCTGGTAAAATATTAGTCTTGGTCTTCAAAGCATTTCAAAATTAATAGGGATTGACTATACACGAGGAGTTTTTTTAAGCATTTTCCAAGTGATTATTTTTTTTTTATCTTTATTGAAAAAAAAATACCAACTTTGAATTAGCAAAACTATAGCTAAAAATGAAGTGCAGTTGGATGTTGATTTTTTTCCTTTGAGAAAAAAACAAAACTTGTCAAGAAAAAAAAAGGAGAGATGTAGAGCAAGAGAAAAACAGAGATTAATAGAAAAAGGAGAATAATGCCAAATCTTTTAAGCATATTTTTTGGTGCCTGACATGCTCCTCTAATGTCATTGTTTATACAGTTTGTTCCTGGATTGAGTTTCCCTTTGCCACTATCTTATCTGATTCTACTATTCTATAGTTTTTCTCTTCTTCCACTCATGCTTAAAGCTTAATTTAGTTTTAAAACTAGTTAGGTATAAAATAAAGACATGTTGCAAAATTATTCTATACTTGTTATCACCAATTAGCAACTCGTTTTCACAAATATATATATGCATCATCAGTGGTTCATTTCACAGTAAACACTCATCTTGTCATGTTTGCTTACCACAAAATACTTAAGCTCATCTTGGTCAGCTTGCAAAATTACTGGATATACTAGCTATTTGTACAGTCACATTCTGCTGAACTCATGTTGAAAACTTGTAAATTAATGTTTTGGAAAGTGCAAACCTTCATTGACACTGATATAAACGTTTTCAAGCACTGACTAAGCATTCCAAGTTCAGTACTTGCTTTTGTTTTTGTTTTTTACATACAGTTTCCTTTAGAGAAAGTCATTTTCAAACCTCGATTTGTCAGTTTATTCTGCTGAACATCCTCATACGGTACGTTCTGATTTTGCAAATGTTTAAAAGTGTATCTGAAAACTCGTTTGAAACCTCCTAAGCCAAACTTCTCACTTTCCAAATTAGCAAACTAAGAAGAAAGAAGGCAGATGAATTGGTGGTAAAGTGAAATAAACTGAATTCCAAACCAGCTTTAGAGAAAACCAGCAAATCTGTGAGTTACCTGTAAATGCATTTCTATCATCTTCATTAACAGTACAAAATAAATTCCAGGTAAGCAATAAAACTATTAATATTACAATAACAAACAAAATTAAAATCCATTCATAAGTACTAAATGCCAATATGTATTCAAAGATCAATAAAAGGAAAAAAACAAAATTATCAAGTAGAAAGATCCCTTTATAGCTTCATTTCAAAATGGTGAATGGGGGGGTACTTCACCAACCAACAAAGAAGAACAACGATTACAAGTGATTGATTATATGAACAGAGTCAGAGACTACTATTATTAAGGGACCAAACTAATCAACTACAAACAGGGCACAACACCAACCCATTCTCATTACAATGCACACACTTAACCACAGTCACTCTCCCCCCTTCCTTAACAACACTCTTACAACTCCCATTACAGTTGAAGCAAGGCAAGAACCTCATGTCCCCGCAACCCTCACAAACCGCTCCAACCTTCTTCTTCGGCAACCCCTTAAGCAGGTCTCCAAGAAGACCCTCTTCGGCAACCCTAAGCATTTCCTCTGCGCCACCGATGTAGAGGCCCTTCACGAACACTCTCGGAGGCACCATCGCTTCTCTCGGCTTCCCCTTCAGCAAGCCTCTGAGCTCCTCCCGGAACCCGCTGTCCATGGAAACGTCACGCTCGCAGATAGCCACGCCGAAGGCCTCGAACGCCGCGCGCACCGCATTGCACGCCTCGAACGTTTTCCGCACACCGCGCAACGTCGTCGTGTAGATCACCACGCGGTTCTCCCCGTTCGGGGGACATATTTGGTCGAACCGGTTGGGCGGCGTTGAACCGGGTTTTGTGGGTGTAAGGAGTCTGGAGCCGGTCGGGGGAGTGAGGCGGTTAGGGTTGGAGTTTTCTTTGGAGAAGCGGAAGCTGTCGGCGTCGAGACCGGACATGAGTTCCCATGAGTTAATGATCTCGGGTTCGGAGCGGAAGGGTCTTGGTTCGGACCAGAGGGACTTAGGTTCGGAGTTAGGTTCGGAGGGGAAAAGAGAGGCTAGGGTGAAACGTGAAGGAGGTGTAGAAGGGGTGGTGGTGGTGGTGGTGTGAGGTGGGTCGAGGGTGAGAAGGCCGTAGGTGGTGGAGGTAAGGGAGACGATGTGGTGGCCCAAGGCGGAGGAACCCAGTTGGGTAAAGTCTTCGTCTTGGTTCAAGAGATTTGAAGAAACGCACCCCATCACTCTGTGTGTGGAGTTTTTGAATTTTGGTGAAATGGGTTACGATGATGATGATGCCAAAGGAATGAACTGAAACTGAAGAAAACGAAAAAGAAAGGTTAGTCTACCATGTTTGTTTTGCAGTCATACTTGTTTATTCTTTTGAGCATTAAATTTTGGGTGCTTTCCTTCAATTTCATTCTCCGATTCAATTTTCAAACGCTGTCGGGTCCACCAAACTCGAGCGCTAAAAATTTAATGACACCACAGAAAGGGAATACGTGGAACTTTGCTTATTTAAATTTGCTCATTCCCTCCATTGCTTTTTCTTTTTGTAGTTTGTAATTTTAATTTTCATAAAAAAAAAATTTAAGATTAAATAATTTGTTGACAAGACAACAAGGATGTTGGGTGTTAAGTGTTATGTTATGTGCTTTAGACTCAGTTGGGTATCTGAGAATGAATGCTTGGGAAAATGTGACCTTCAATATCGTGAACCTCTCAAATTAAATGATTACCCAGATGCAGATAGGGCATTATTTTGTAGCTTTTCATATGTTTCTTGCTTGTAGGGATGATCTTTTTTTATTTTTATTTTCGTGCTTGGGTCAAATGTTAAGTTTAATATAAAGATTTTAAATCCAGAAAATCTCAAATCTATATATATTTTTATAATTATTTTATTCGTAAAATAAAATTTATAAAATATACTTTTTGAAACTTGAAAAATTGCTCTGGTGGTAGTTCAACGTTACAACATTTAAATATAACTCCTGCAACATTTAAACGTTCGTTTTTGTAAATGTTATTAAATAGTGGTAGTACTCGGATTTTAGTCACCTACTATCAAATAAAAAAATTCATCACTTAACTTTCACCTACCTCATAATTTGTAGTCTGATCTTTATTTAAATAAAAATAAAAAACATATTCTTAAAATTAAAATTATATTAATGAAATTAATTTTTATTTAATAATTTAATATATATAATCATAAGAAACATAATTCATTCAATCCAAAAATAAAACTTAAAAACTTATTTATTATTATTATTATTATTATTTATTTTTAATAATTTATTAATTAAAAATAATAATTAATCTTAATTATTAGATTTTAGATTTTGTAATAAATAATTATAAGAATAAATGAATTTCTTATAATTTATTTTATAATTAATATATTTTTTTATATAATAATATTTATTTTAACAATTATTATTATTATTATATAAAATACATCTTTCTATATTAATTTAACCTAAATTTATTTAGGTTATAAAATTAAAATAGATATAATTTAATTTATATCATAAAAAATTTTATCTTATCAAAATTATTTTTCACCTAAATAATCAATCATGTATAATAAAATTAACTTTTAGGGAAAAATAGAACTACAAAACACAATAATAATTTCATATTAAGTCATAATAAGAGGTGTCTTACCTAATTGTAAGGTTATTTTCTACATCATTTAATTTAATCATTAAAATGAAAGTCATCAAATAATTAGAAAGTTTATATCGTGAAAAAGCTCCTGTTTTAATGTCTTTTATAAATTTGTTCTACTTTTTCTCATAAATAAAAATTTGATCTAGCTATATTGTGTAGTCTAATTATAATGGTATTATTAATTGAGGAATTTTGTTTATATTAGGATTATCTATAGAGAGTTACACAGATGTATTTTAATATATTTTTATAAAAAGTCTTGATGTGAACAAAATTAACATATAAAATTGTCACTTATAAGTAAAAAAATGTGAGGTGTAATTAATCAACTATTTTATATAAACTCGAAATTCGCATAAAAAATAGTATCAACTCATAAAAATATTTACATTATTAGGACCTAATATGAATGGAAACACACAACTTATTTTTTGATAGAGATTATTATCAAAAAAAAGTGTTTGAAACTAATCAATCTATAAAATAAGTTCCTTTCACTTCCTAACAACTAAACTAATCCTAAAAACTCTTTCTTTAAGTTTCAAAAGTCAAGAAGTCATGTCTCATTCATACCCAAGATTTATTCACCTGTAATTTACCAACCACAAATGGTGCTACAGGCTAAAAGCTATCATAAATTTCCGTAAAACATAGCAACATTCAACTAGAAAATAACCTCCAAATCACTATATGGTATGACATAATAAACTATGCGCGGGAAGTATCACTTGAGACAGTTACATAACAGCAACTTTCAACTTCAACTACCCACCAATTCTCCCAAACTCCATTTGAAAGAGAAAGACCCACACATTGTGAAATGCACCAAAGCCATCTCTACCCACATGCGGAATGGCCACTGCGACTTGGCTCTCCGTGTCTTCGACACCATGCAGCTTCGAAACTCCGTCTCCTACAACGCCTTGAGGAACGCAGAGTTCTCCCTTGCAAGGGACCTGTTTGACAGAATGCCCCAGAAAGACTTGTTTTCCTGGAATCTAATGCTTACTGGCTATGCCAGGAACCGCAGACTCTATGATTCCCGCGTGCTAATTGATTCAATGCCCGAAAAGGATATTGTTTCCTGGAATGCCATGCTGTCCGGGTATGTCCGGAGTGGTCACGTTGATGAGGCAAGGGAAGTTTTTGATAGGATGCCTCACAAGAATTCCATCTCCCGGAATGGGTTGCTTGCAGCATACGTTCGGAGTGGGAGACTCGAGGAGGCTAGTCACTTGTTTGAGTCCAAGTCAGACTGGGAGTTTATTTCATGGAATTGTTTGATGGGTGGGTATGTGAAGAGAAACATGTCAGGTGATGCCAGCCTGCTTTTTGATCAAATGCCTATTAGGGATGTAGTTTCCTGGAATACCATGATTTCAGGTTATGCACAGGATGGAGATTTGTCACAGGCTAGGAGATTGTTTGAAGAGTCTCCAGTAAGGGATGTTTTCACGTGGACAACAATGGTTTATGCATATGTGCAGAATGGAATGTTGGAGGAAGCGAGGAGAGTTTTTGATGAAATACCACAGAAAAGAGAGATGCTGTACAATGCAATGATTGCCGGTTATGTGCAATACAAGAGAATGGACATGGCAAGGAAGTTGTTTGAGGCAATGCCTTTCCCAAATATAGGTTCATGGAATATCATGATAAACGGTTATTGTCGGGAGGGTGATGTAGCACAAGCTAGGAATTTGTTTGATAGGATGTCTCGGCATGATTCTGTATCTTGGGCAGCTATTATTACTGGTTATGCTCATAATGGTCACTATGAAGAAGCAATGAACATGCTTGTGGAGATGAAACGAGATGGAGAAGATTTAAATAGATCTACCTTTTGTTGTGCTCTTAGCACATGTGCTGATATAGCTGCTTTGGAGTTAGGGAAACAAGTTCATGGACAGGTGGTGAAAACAGGATATGAGAACGGGTGTGTAGTGGGGAATGCACTTGTTGGAATGTATTGTAAATGTGGCTGCATAGATGAAGCTTACGATTTGTTTCAAGGAATACAACATAAAGATATCGTCCCTTGGAACACAATGTTAGCTGGTTATGCTAGGCATGGATTTGGCAGGATGGCTTTAAAAGTATTTGAGTCAATGATCACAGCAGGGGTTAAACCTGATGAGATTACCGTGGTACACATATTTTATGCACTTCTTATGCATGAATAATTGCTCCTCTAATTGTTTTAGGAAAATCTTTTGTCTTCATTGCTTACTATATATATATATATATGTGACGTGCAGAAACACATGAAAATATTACTTACTATTTTTCACTTCATTGGTTTTTAACTTACACATAGCTGATCTGCTGATTTTTTATGGTTTAATACTTAAAACGGTTTAATCATCTCCTGGGTTGCTGCTAGGGGTTCACTGAATCCAGTCTGTTTCCATGAAGGGAACAAAGCTTATTGTTTTCTTATCATCTATTTATTTTCACTCCAGTAGTGTATTGTTTGTTGCTTTTTCATTTGTCCAAAAGGAAAATGTCACGGACATAATATATGGTGTGAAGAATGTTATTGACCTAAGTAGCGGGAATGGATTCAAGATATATACGATTGATACATTTTTAATACAAGTTTATTGGTTTAGTGGCAAGATGTCCCCACCCCAGCAGCTGTCTGATATTATGTCGGTAAAGTGGAGTTCCCTTATTTAGCTATGACATATATATATCAAATTAGTAGTGCATGCTTTTTAAATTTGTTGAATACAAAATACTTTATTGATAGTACCGGGAAAAGCTGATTGAATAAAAGAAATAGCATTATTTTTATGAGCAACCCTGTATCACTTCAGTTATTAAATAGACTGCATGCCTACAACTTCTTTCTTGCCAATCTCTTCACTTTGCCTTTCTTCGACTATATCTTTAACATGGATAGTAAAATTCAGTTAGAATGCACCGAATGAATGCAAAAAGTTTAATTGCAAAGGATAATCTTATGTGTGTTGTGACGTTGTCTATTAAGTTGCCAAATAGGCAGTCCTTTTGCATTAATACGAGTAATGCAGTGCATACTTTGTTTCCCTCCTCTATTTGGTATTTTCATTTTTTAAACTTATCCCTATCTTTTAGCTTTCCGCAGGAGCATATGAGCTAATTAATAGTTGCTTACGTGATTTACGGCTTGTTTTGTATACAAATATGATGATCATAATCATGAAGCACTGGCAAATCAATAATGAATGGCACATTAATAATATTATTGTTTTATCTAGAATCCACTAGCTTTCCTTTTGACTCTTTTCTACAAGAAAATCATTTTGCTTCTTAATAATGTTTCAGGTTGGTGTTCTATCAGCTTGCAGTCATATGGGCTTGACAGACAGGGGTACTGAATATTTTCATTCAATGGATAAGAATTATGGTGTAAAACCAAATTCAAAACATTATACTTGCATGATCGATCTTCTTGGTAGAGCAGGTCATCTGGAAGAAGCGCAGAACTTAATCCGAAACATGCCTTTTGAGCCAGATGTTGCAACATGGGGAGCTCTATTGGGTGCAAGCCGAATTCATGGCAATATGGAGCTGGGTGAGAAGGCTGCTGAGATGGTTTTCAAGATGGAACCTCATAACTCGGGAATGCATGTTCTTCTTTCAAATTTATATGCAGCTTCTGGGAGATGGGTCGATGTTAGTAAAATGAAATTGAAAATGAGGGAAGTTGGTGTTCAGAAAAAAACACCAGGGTATAGTTGGGTTGAGGTACATAACAAGATTCATACATTCACAGTTGGGGATTGTTTTCACCCAGAGAATGGTAGAATATATGCCTTCGTAAAAGAGTTAGATTTAAAAATGAAACAAGACGGGTATGTTCCTTCAACAAAATTGGTCTTGCATGATGTGGAAGAGGAGGAGAAGAAGCATATGCTAAAGTATCACAGTGAGAAATTAGCTGTAGCATTTGGAATTTTAGCTATACCGGCTGCTAGACCAATACGTGTCATGAAAAACTTGCGAGCGTGTGAAGACTGTCATTATGCCATCAAACACATATCCAAGTATGTCTATGTTGTGAGACACCTGCATATTTGTAACGCACGTTATATTTCTACTAATAGTTGTAGTTATAGGAGTAAAAGACGAAGCAGATGCAGCACATCTTCATCCACCATCACCAACTCTGTCAAAGACCCCGACATTGTCACATGGAACAAGGCCATTTCTTCCCACATGCGCAATGGCCACTGCGACTCTGCTCTCCGTGTTTTCAACTCCATGCCTCGCCGCAGCTCTGTCTCCTACAATGCCATGATATCTGGGTACCTGAGGAACGCAAAGTTCTCCCTCGCAAGGGATCTGTTTGATAAAATGCCCGAGAGGGACTTGTTTTCCTGGAATGTTATGCTCACTGGATATGTCAGGAACCACAGGCTCGGTGAGGCCCGCAAGTTGTTTGACCTGATGCCTGAAAAGGATGTTGTTTCCTGGAATGCCATGTTGTCTGGGTATGCCCAGAATGGGTTTGTTGATGAGGCAAGAGAGGTTTTTAATAGGATGCCTCATAGGAATTCCATCTCCTGGAATGGGCTGCTTGCAGCTTATGTTCATAATGGGAGACTTGAGGAGGCACGTCAATTGTTTGAGTCCCAATCGGACTGGGAATTGATTTCTTGGAATTGTTTGATGGGTGGGTATGTGAAGAGAAACATGTTGGGTGATGCTAGGCTGATTTTTGACCAAATGCCTGTTAGGGATGTCATCTCCTGGAACACTATGATTTCTGGTTATGCCCAGGTTGGAGATTTGTCTCAGGCTAAGAGGTTGTTCAATGAATCTCCAATTCGGGACGTGTTCACATGGACAGCGATGGTGTCTGGATATGTGCAGAACAGAATGGTGGAGGAAGCAGGAAAATATTTTGATGAGATGCCTGTAAAAAATGAAATTTCATACAATGCAATGCTTGCAGGCTATGTGCAAGACAAGAAAATGGACATTGCAAGGGAGTTGTTTGAGGCAATGCCTTGTCGGAATATAAGTTCATGGAATACCATGATTACTGGCTATTGTCAGAATGGTGGTATAGCACAAGCTAGAAAATTGTTTGATGTGATGCCTCAGCGCGATTGTGTTTCTTGGGCAGCTATCATTGCTGGCTATGCTCAGAATGAACACTTTGAGGAGGCTCTTAACATGTTTGTGGAGATGAAACGAGATGGGGAAAATTCAAATAGATCTACTTTTAGTTGTGCTTTGAGCACATGTGCCGATATTGCTGCCTTGGAGTTGGGGAAACAAGTTCATGGACAAGTGGTGAAAGCAGGATTTGAGACTGGGTGTTTTGTGGGAAATGCACTTCTTGGGATGTATTTTAAATGTGGCAGCACAGATGAAGCTAATAATGTGTTTGAAGGAATAGAGGAGAAAGATGTCGTCTCTTGGAACACAATGATAGCTGGTTATGCTAGGCATGGATTTGGAAGACAGGCTTTAATTTTATTCGAATCAATGAAGAAAGCAGGTGTTAAACCTGATGAGATTACAATGGTATGCATTCGTAAATATTTAGATTTTTCATTTAGAGCTTCTTGTTTGCATGAGTTTTTACTGATTTATCCAGTTGTGTGCATGTATGAACCGGTACCATCAGTACTTCATATTTTATCCTGTTTGGTTTCTAGGGTTATAAGCTTGGGAAGTGTGAATTGGAAAGGTTTGGGCTGGAATTAGATTGGTGATTGGGAAAGACTTGGAACGCTATTGAATTCCTTGGACCTTTCGTTCTTCTTTTTGCTTGTATTCAGTATCTCTCGTACTCTAGAACCTGCTATCTCTCTTGATATGGAATTAATCCTTGATAGTAATAATGTAATACATTATCGTTTCTTCTTACTTATATTCTGGTACCTACCATACTTTTAATTTTGTTGTTACTTTGCCATTGTTCATGAAGAAATTGACTGCTCTAATATATTGTGTTAAGAATGTTCTTGACCAGTTGACCTTAGGAATTGGAATAGCTTATTATGAAAGGTAACTTTTTAATACAAATTTGTTAGTTTTCTACTTGTCTAGCATTGTGTTGGAAAAGTTTAATTTACCTATTTTGTTATGACTGATGCTTGGTATTGTGTACTTTTAAATTTGTGCAAGAGAAGTACTTCATTAAGTAAAAAAAAAAAAAAAAAAACTACCAAAAAAACAATATACACACAACAGTGGAGAGTAAAAGAGAGTGTACTGTGGTCTTTCTAAGCTTTTCAACTCCATTAGTTGACTAAGTCTGCAACTTTTATCCTCGCCCTAATCCTATCAGAAATGCTACAGGAGCATTTGTAGACAATGTTAATTATTATCTAGCTTGTGTTATTGAACCTCTTAGCTTTATTTATCTCATAAGATGTCAGGTAGGTGCACCCTGCACTAATAAAAGATTCCCTTAGTTTTCCTCTATTTGTTATCCTCATTTTTACGGTAATCTCCTCGTTTTAGTAAAGTTTCTTTCTATAAAAATAACTGAACTAATAGTTGTTCAAATACTTTCCTCTTATTGAAATATTGAAATAAAAAGGAGTCGTTAATGTTGTTTATCTGTACAAAGTAGTGACATGGCTTTGTTAACCCTTTCCTATGCTCTAACTTTCTGTTTATTCTTTTAATTATGTTTCAGGTTGGTGTTTTATCTGCATGTAGTCATTCTGGCTTGATAGACAGGGGAACTGAATACTTTTATTCGATGAATAGGGATTACAATGTAACACCAAGTTCAAAACATTATACTTGCATGATTGATCTTCTTGGAAGAGCTGGCCGCCTGAAAGAAGCAGAGAACTTAATGAGAAAAATGCCTTTTGAGCCTGGAGCTGCATCATGGGGAGCTCTATTAGGGGCAAGTCGGATTCATGGCAATACTGAACTGGGTGAGAAAGCTGCTGAGATGGTTTTTAAGATGGAACCTTGTAACTCAGGGATGTATGTCCTTCTTTCAAATCTATATGCGGCTTCTGGTAGGTGGGTTGATGTTGGGAAGATGAGATCAAGAATGAAGGAAGTTGGCGTGCAGAAGGTAACTGGATATAGTTGGGTTGAGGTACAAAACAAGATTCATACGTTCACGGTTGGGGATTGTTTCCACCCAGAAAAGGATAGAATATATGCCTTCTTAGAAGAGCTAGATTTGAAAATTAGGCGTGACGGGTATGTTTCTTCAACAAAATTGGTTTTGCATGATGTGGAAGAGGAAGAAAAGGAGCACATGCTCAAGTATCACAGTGAGAAATTGGCTGTGGCATTTGGAATTCTGACTATCCCTGCCGGCAGACCAATACGTGTCATGAAAAACTTGCGTGTTTGTCAAGACTGTCATAATGCCATCAAACACATATCCAAGATTGTTGGAAGGTTGATAATCTTAAGGGATTCTCACCGCTTTCACCACTTCAATGAGGGTATCTGTTCCTGTGGGGATTATTGGTAAGAATGGACAGATATGGTGGATATTATTTTAAAGAGTTGTCGTACTCTTTGGGCCTATTTATGTGCTGAAAGCAGTGTGAAGCACATTTATGTCTGTCTTGTTCCATGTGAATGCATAAAACTGTCAAGGGGGACCAGAAAATTTCAATTACGACGGCCTTAGTCAGAATCACAAAGTATGATCATCTGATGGAAGTTGTAATGCGGCATTTCTTAGAATTACATCACCGAGAAGTTAATCAGATTGCATGACATGCAAAGAATAAATGAAAGGGTAAGCTGAATGCTGTTCACAACCCTTGGAAAGATGTAACCCGATTAATCTGAGCAGATAGCAACTTCCAAATAACATGATTGCACCCCTTAAAATATACACAGTAAGTATTTCATTTATTTCATTGAATAACCTTTATGACTAAGTGGTGGGACATGTAGGAAGAGTGATAAGTTTTTTTTATTTCAATCCACTGCAAAATAGTACTTAATTCTTATTTGTATTTATTTATATACAATACAATTTTTAAGAATACAATTATGTTTTGTTATACTTTTTTTTACTTTCTTTTTAATTCTCCTATGCACTTATTATAAAATCTGATGTTAAATTATTGAAATCTGTAAGCTTTTTTTTATCAGTAAATATTAGTGATAATATTTCCAGTTTAAAATAAAACAATGACTAGTTTGGATCTAAAAGTTTAATGCACAGTATATCAAGTGTTCAACGTTAATCATTAATGTATAAATTCTCTCTATAATTGAAAAGACAATAGATAAGGTTATTTTTATATCAAACGAGTATTTATGTTATAACTTATAAACTGTAAATAAAATCTTTTGAAAACAAATCATTCTTTTACTTTCGAGCATTTATAACCGGCATGCTTTGAATCGATTATATAGGGTGGTCTAATTGAGTTTGGAGCAACCATTATCCATTTTAATTGGTCAATGATTAATTTAATATTTATCTATTATAGAATTTAAAGTATAAATAAGGATGATAAATTTGAAGAAGATCCAATGTTTTCTAGACTTCCCTTTCAATCTACAAGAGGCGATGTGACTCTTCATGGAAAGGGAGCTAATAATTATTACAATGAGGCCACCAAACAACGACAGACAGCGGAAGAGCATGTTTTGCTAACATTCCATAATAAAATAAAGTACACATTGCGTTTTCCGTTTTCCGTACACAAAAAGGCATTTCACGATATGACGAACGAACTCAGTCCTAACGTGAAGGAGATGTAGAAGGGGTGGTGTGAGGTGGGTCGAGGGTGAGAAGGGCGTCGGTGGTGGAAGTAAGGGAGACGATGTGGTGGCCCAAGGCGGAGGAACCCAGTTGGGTAAAGTCTTCGTCTTGGTTCAAGAGATTTGAAGGAACGACGCAGCCCATCACTGTGTGTGGAGTTTTTGAACTGAAACTGAAGAAAACGAAAAAGAAAGGTTAGTCTACCATGTTTGTTTTGCAGTCGTAGTTGTTTATTCTTTTGAGCATTAAATTTTGGTTGCTTTTCTTCAATTTCATTCTCCCACGATTCAATTTTCAAAAGCTGTCAGCCCACCAAACTCGAGCGCTAAAAATTTAATGACATCACAGAAAGGAGTACGTGGAGTCTTTGCTTATTTAAATTTGCTCATTGCCTCCATTGCTTTTTCTTTTTGTAGTTTGTAATTTTCATTTTCATAAATTTTTTTTAAGATTAAATACTTTGTTGACAAGGATGTTGGGTGTTAAGTGTTATGTTATTTGTTCTATTGTACAATATTATTGATCTTATAATCTTCTAATTAGAGAATACATTATTTTTCTTTAAATTTTCTTTCTTGACAACGATAAAAAAAAGGAACGGAACTAAAACTTATATTCTGTGTGTGCTTCCAGAAGGAAACCATGATCCTTTAAAATAACAAGAATTAAGTTAATTACTTAAATTTTAGTATTTTCAATTTGATCCCTCATCAAATTAGAAATTATTCTATGATCTCTGCACAATTTTATTTTCATGACATATTTTTAGCTAAACTTTTTAATTTAGTTAGATCACTTTATTATTTGGCTTATTAAATAATGATTCTAACACATTTAAATTATGTATCATATATATACATGACCCAAATTTTGCCAACAATCTTCCACTGGTCACAAATATAAATGTCCTTACAACCTTACAAATGTATTAGACTTTATGAGCTTAAAATTTTTATTATATTCCTTTAGCATATTTCAAAAGTTTTGTCCATTAATCATATCAGGATATAGAACTAAACCAGCTTTTCATTTCATCGTCGCAATTAAAACCAACAATGATCACTAATCCTGACATAACCAAATGACATAGATTCATCATGAAATGTGTAGCATGAAAAATTACGTGAAGGTGATATGTACATGTCTATTTTCAACTAGTCAAAACTTTAACTTATCGAGATCGATATAATAACCTTAATGTACAAAGTGTAATGAATGAACGAAAAATCGCATATCTAAAGATAACCAAAAATCTCCAAAAAAAACAATGTATACATACATGAAATAAACATAGAATATAAAATATATGAAAATAACTAACTCCCACTAAACCACAAATTCCTGAAACTGTAAAACACTCATATGAGCAACATGCTCATGAAAGACCTTGGGCGGAAGTCCTTTAGTTAGAGGATCTGTTATCATGGAGGTTGTCCCTAAGTGTTCTATGGAAATATGTCCACTTTGTACTCTTTCCTTAACAACTAGGAACTTAATGTCGATGTGTTTTGATTTAGTCGAGCTCCTATTGTTGTTGGAATACAATACAGCTGATTTGTTGTCACAATATAACTTAAGTGGTCTTTTCATGTCTTTCACAATTTACAGCCCTGTGAAAAAATTTCTCAGACATATTCTATGATTTGATGCCTTATATCATGCTACAAGTTCTGCTGTCATAATGGATGAAACTGTAAGGGTTTACTTGACACTACGCCAAGAAACCGCACCACCTGCCAACATGAAAATGTAACCTGAAGTAGATTTCAAACTATCTTGATATCCTGCAAAGTCTGAGTCAAAAAACCTAGTAATCTCTAACTAGTCTGACCTTCTGTATGTGAGCATATAATCTTTTGTTCTCTTTAAATATCTTATAACTCTTTTTGCTGCTTTCCAATGGTTCATTCCTGGATTGCTTAAATATCTGCTTAGAACCTCAACTGTGTATGTTATGTCTAGATGCGTACATACTTGGGCATACATTAAACTCCCTATAGCTGATGCATAGGGGATCTTCTGCATTTCCTCAATTTCTAAATTCTCCTTTGGGCACTGATTGAGACTAAACTTGTCTCCCTTAGCAACTGGAATATTCCTGTCTCATGACGCACAGATTCTTGAGGATCTTGAATTTGTTCTTAACGAATAACCAAATCATCTTGAGTATGAGGTTTATCAACAATGTCTTGTGGATGTTCCAAACTTACTTTATCAAAACTAACTGTTTGAATCAGTTCTGGACTTGTTACCGATTCTTCCTCCAAGACAAAATTTTTAATTTTATTTTCCCCCAAACTCAATATCCTCAAAGAACATAACAGTTCTTGTCTCAAAAATTATCTTTAATGTGGGATCATAAAATTTATATCCCCTGAATCTTTGAGCATAACCAATAAAATAACTACTTACTGTTCGAGAGTTCAATTTCTTTTCATTTGGCTTATAAGGTCTTGTCTCAGTTGGATAACCCCACACATGGAAATGCTTCAGACTAGGCTTTCGCCCAGTCCAAAGCTCATAAGGTGTTTTGGTATCTGCTTTAATTAGTACTCTGTTTAGAATATAAGTTGTCGTCTTTAGCGCTTCTACCCAAAGTGATTCCGGTAATGTAGAATGACAAATCATACTCATTACCATATCTTTAAGAGTGTAACACAAACTCAAGCGCCACGATTAGATTGTGACCTGAGCGCTTGTGGCATAATACACCTGAGTGAGTATTGTTAATTTTACGTTTAGTACCACGAGATTCTGTATTAAGAGTTTCATTATAGGTGACCACATTATCAAACAAATACAAATTATCATAAGTCAAAAGTGAATTATTCCAACAATATTTGAATTAAAAGACAAACTGAATTCATTGTTTCCACATGAACAATAATAACTTGATTTGTACAAATAAGAAACTGAAATTAAATTTCGTCTAAATGACGGCACAACAAAAATGTCTTTCAAATCTAAATAAAAATCAGTACATAATAATAATATAAAATGTTCAATAGCCTTCACCTCCACCGATTTGCCATCTTTAACGAATATTCATCTTTCACAATTAATTGACTTCTGGTAGTTTAAACAACCCTTTCTTTTCACGCCAAACATGATATTTGACACATTTCTTCTTTACGTGTTCAGTCTTATTGCAAAAGAAACATTTGCTTTCTTGAGTTTGTTTCTTTTATTCTGGACCCTTAGCAGCTTACTTCTCGGGATCCTTCGATCTCTTTCTTTTTCCCTTAGCCTTGGAGGTACTTGCAAAATGGGCATTTTTTGTCTCGTTTTGCTTTAGTCTTTCCTTTTCTTGCATACAGTGTGAAATGAGCTCATTAAGAGAATATTTATCCTTTTGACAGTTGTAAGATACCTTAAACTGATTAAATATTACGGGAAGAGAAATCAATACCAAATGAATGAGCAAGTCTTCTGAGAGTTCAAACTTTAGATCCTTGAGTTTAAAAACAATATTAGACATGCTCATAATGTACTCCCTGATATTTCCTTTACCTCCGAGATGCCGCGCTTAATGATCATTAGACTCATGCGATTTGAGCGATCCCACTTCTTATAATATCTCTTTTGTTCAGAGGTACTTGAATCCGTAGGAGTAGGGGTTGTTCAGTCCTTAACGCAAGATCCATATCCATGCAACCAAGAATAATATCAATATTCTATTTTCAGTCCTTAAAATTTGTTCCATTGAGGATTATAACAAAATTTAAATTGGCAGATACAGAAGCAATTGTAGTTGAATATAGAACAAGAGAAATAAACTAATTATGCTCACATTATAAAAATAAATAATTATAATATATATTCAAAAAATGGTTTAACTCATCTCAAGACACCCAATACATCATCAATATCACGTATTTGGACGAGTAATATTAAGCTGTTAAATGTATCTTGTTGTAATGATCAAACATTGACGATAAAACACGTTCAACAACAAACCAATTTTTGGATTAATTTATCATTGACAAAGCAAATTCTTATAATTATCACATGTTTATCATTACAAATGTGTATGCAATTTAACTAAATATTAATCTTCCTTTGATGACTAATACTCGCATGAATATACACAAACACTAATATTCAATATTTTTTATGAATTGCTTCAATTCAAGAGAGGTTATTTTGGTGACTTACTGACTCAATTTGCTTAACGAGAAAATGTTAAACTACCAAAAATTGAATATTTTATTTATATATATAACAAATCCAAATATTTATAATTATTTATTTACAATCCCCAAAATTGCATCTTCTTGCAGATCTAGTTCGCTTTGGTTTTCAATTTTTTTTTTTATTTGTTTAGTGGAGGAGAAGCCACACCCCCAAATCTCCGTTCCCAAATGGATGGGTCATTTGTACCTTTCGTTTGCACTGTCAGTTTCTGGAGATTTGACAACTTTAGCCAATCAATTGGAAGAATTGCTTCCATGGATTATTCATAGAAGTGAAATGTACTATGCTCTAGCCTTTTGTTATTATGGAGCAGGCAAGGATCTAGTAGCACTAGATCTTTATTTTGAATATGAAATTGGGTTTGGTGATAATGTTCGGGCCTCTGGTACATGTTCGACAGAACCAACGTTGAGCTAATTGTGGGCTTTGTGTAGAGTCGCGAACACTGGTCGTCGTGCCTGCAAACGCCCGATGCCAAGTGCTCCGCTATTTGTTTGTTAGGGTTAGGGTTTCGGAGGTTCAAACCTTTAATTTCTCCAATATTTGACAGTTTGAATGTAGCCACACATAAACCACAACTCCTTCGTCCACCTCTTAAACCTCATGCAATTGGATCTCCGCACCAACGTTATCGCTGACGACCAACAGGACGACGCGCCTTTGCAACGCCGCTGGTGCTTCTTGCAATGTCGCTTGTGAGTGGCGGATCTTAACATTGTAGGGACTAAATAATATATTATTAATAAATAATAAGCTAAATAATATATTATTAATAAATAATAAAAAGAATATGAAAGGTTAAAAAGATAAAATTATAGATATATATTTAAATATATTAAATGATAATTAAGTTTGAGGGAAACAAAATCATAAATTATATGAGAGTTACAAAATTAAGGAGGGAGTTGAGAGGATAAAATTGTAAATATACAAGTAAATATATTAAATGCTTATTATGTTTGGGGGTAAAAATCATAAATTACATGGGAGTTATAAAACTTTGGGGGGTCACGGCCTCCTCAGCTTCCAAGAAGATCGCTACTATCTGCTGGTGCTTCTTGCCACCACCCTAATTTCAAAAATAGATTGGGATCTTACCCCCAAATTGGATTAGGATGCACAAAAATTGGAAATTATGTTTATAAAATTGGTTAATTTGAATTGTTAAAAATAAAATTAATCATAATTTTTATAATTAAGGTTTTATAAATTAAACAGACATGAATCAAGTATGGGTGACTCGATACTACTTGTTAGTAAAACTAATAATAATTATGATTTAATTATCAAACATAAATATTATCCCATACTCATAAACATGTTGTAAACTGAATGTGAAAGCGTACCTGAATTAGCCATAATAATTATATCCTTGTAAAACACTATTGATCTTATGGTCTTCTACTTGGAGATCACTTGTATTTCCATCTGGATTTTCTCTCTTGATGGGGATAGAAAGAAAGGAACGGGACTGAAACTTACGTTTTGTGTGTATTACAGGATGGGGATCATGACCCTTTAAAATAACCAGAATTAGATTAATTACTTAAGTTTTAATATTTCCAATTTGATCCATCATCAAATTAGAAATTGTTCTATGGTCTCTACACAATTTTATTTTCATGACATGTCTTTAGTCAAAAATTTTAATTTAGTCATATTACTTTACTATTTGACTTAATAAATAATGTAACACTTTAACACATTTATAATATTATGTATCATATATATATATATATATATACCCAATTGCAAACATTTTAACGTTACAATATTTAAATATAACTCTGCAACATTTAAACGTGTAAATATTATTAAATAGTGGTAGTAGGTTGTTCTTAAACTGCCTCTTCAACTCTGGTTTTTAGTCTCTTACTATCAAATAAAAAACATCATCACCTAACTTTGACCTACATCATAATTGTTAGTCTGATCTATATTTAAATAAAAATAAAAAATATATTCTTGTATTAATAATTTTTTAATGATTTAATATATATATATATATATATATATATATATATATATATATATATAATTATATAAGAAAAACAATTCATTCCATCCAAAAATAAAACTTATTTTTTATTATTTTATTATTATTATTATTATTTATTTTTAGTAATTTATTAATTTAAAATAATAATTAATCTTAATTATTATATTTTAAATTTTGAAATAAGTGATTATTAAAAACTTAATCTAATATTTATTTTTAAAATAAATAAATCCTTTATAATTTATTTTATAATTAATATAATTTTTTATAAAATAATATTATTTTTATTTTTATTTTAAAAATATTTTTATTATATAAAATAGATCAATCCATTACTTATAAATTAGTTTAACCTAAATTTATTTAGATTACAGTTAAAATAAATAAAATTTATATCATAAATTTTTTAATTTAATTTAATTTATCGAACTTTTTATCCATCTATTAAATCTATTTTTATCCCATTAATAATAATCCTATATAATAAAATTAACTTTTAGTGGAAAATAGAACTACCGTACACTTTCATATTAAGTCATAATAAGCGGTGTCTTACCTAATTATAAGATTATTTTCTATTTAATTTAATTTAACTATTAAAATGAAAGTAATCAAATAATTAGTAAGTTTATTTCTTGTTATAGGTGTGTATAGGTATAATTTACTCGTGAAAAAGCTCCTAAAATGAATTGTTTTAATGTATTTTATAAATTTGTTGTACTTTTTCTTATAAATAAAAAATTGATCTAACTCTATTGTGTAGTCTAATTATAATGGTATCATTAATTGAGGAATTTTGTTTATATTAGGATTATCTATAGAAAGTTACACACTGGATATATAATATTTGATATATTTTAATATATTTTTATAAAAAGTGAACAAAATTGACATATAAAATTGTCACTTATAAATAAAAAAATGTGAGGTATAATTAGTCAACTATTTTATATAAACTTGAAATTCACATAATTCACAGTATCAACTCATAAAAATAGTTACGTTATTAGGGACCTAATATAAATGGAAGCACACAACTTATTTTTTGACAGAGATCATTATCGAAAAAATTGTTTGACACTAAACAATCTATAAAATAAGTTCCTTTCACTTCCGAACAACTAAACTAATCCTAAAAACTCTTTCTTTGAAGTTTCAAAAGTCTATCAAGAAGTCATGTCTCATTCATACCCAAGATTTATTCACCTGTAATTTAAGTGAAAATTATTCAACTTCTTCGGTGCATATCTTCTTGGAAGGAATAGGAGGGTTTTGAATCTTATAAAAATTTCTTAACTTCTATATAATTTATAATTAAATTTCTTAAATGTAATAAATAAATATATTTATTTATATATTTATAATTTTATTTTCTGAGGCTCATTAGTTTTATGATTGTTATATAATTTATGATTTTATTCATCTTAAATTTAATCATTATTTAATATATTTAAATATATATTTATAATTTTATTTTTTTATCTTTTATTTTTTATATTTATTTATTTTTTATTAATAATCTATTATTTCAATGTTAAATATCCGTCACTCCCCTTCGTTCACCAGCCACAAACGGTGCTACAGGCTAGAAACTAATATAAATTTCCGTAAAACATAGCAACATTCAATTAGAAAATAACCTCCAAATCAGTACATGGTATGACATAAACTATGCGCGGGAAGTTTCACTTGAGACAGTTACATAACAGCAACTTTCAACTTCAACTACCCACCAATTCTCCCAAACTCCATTTGAAAGAGAAAGACCCACACATTGTGAAATGCACAAAAGCCATCTCTACCCACATGCGGAATGGCCACTGCGACTTGGCTCTCCGTGTCTTCGACACCATGCGGCGTCGAAACTCCGTCTCCTACAACGCCATGATATCTGGGTACTTGAGGAACGCAGAGTTCTCTCTTGCAAGGGACCTGTTTGACAGAATGCCCCAGAAAGACTTGTTTTCCTGGAATCTAATGCTTACTGGCTATGCCAGGAACCGCAGACTCTATGATGCCCGCGTGCTGTTTGATTCAATGCCCGAAAAGGATATTGTTTCCTGGAATGCCATGCTGTCCGGGTATGTCCGGAGTGGGCACGTTGATGAGGCAAGGGAAGTTTTTGATAGGATGCCTCACAAGAATTCCATCTCCTGGAATGGGTTGCTTGCAGCATACGTTCGGAGTGGGAGACTCGAGGAGGCTAGTTACTTGTTTGAGTCCAAGTCAGACTGGGAGTTGATTTCTTGGAATTGTTTGATGGGTGGGTATGTGAAGAGAAACATGTTAGGTGATGCCAGCCTGCTTTTTGATCAAATGCCTATTAGGGATGTAGTTTCCTGGAATACCATGATTTCAGGTTATGCACAGGATGGAGATTTGTCACAGGCTAGGAGATTGTTTGAAGAGTCTCCAGTAAGGGATGTTTTCACGTGGACAGCAATGGTTTATGCATATGTGCAGAATGGAATGTTGGAGGAAGCGAGGAGAGTTTTTGATGAAATACCAAAGAAAAGAGAGATGCTGTACAATGCAATGATTGCCGGTTATGTGCAATACAAGAGAATGGACATGGCAAGGAAGTTGTTTGAGGCAATGCCTTTTCCAAATATAGGTTCATGGAATATCATGATAAGCGGTTATTGTCGGGAGGGTGATGTAGCACAAGCTAGGAATTTGTTTGATAGGATGTCTCGGCGTGATTCTGTATCTTGGGCAGCTATTATTACTGGTTATGCTCATAATGGTCACTATGAAGAAGCAATGGACATGCTTGTGGAGATGAAACGAGATGGAGAAGATTTAAATAGATCTACCTTTTGTTGTGCTCTTAGCACATGTGCTGATATAGCTGCTTTGGAGTTAGGGAAACAAGTTCATGGACAGGTGTTGAAAACAGGATATGAGAACGGGTGTGTAGTGGGGAATGCACTTGTTGGAATGTATTGTAAATGTGGCTGCATAGATGAAGCTTACGATTTGTTTCAAGGAATACAACATAAAGATATCGTCTCTTGGAACACAATGTTAGCTGGTTATGCTAGGCATGGATTTGGCAGGCTGGCTTTAAAAGTATTTGAGTCAATGATCACAGCAGGGGTTAAACCTGATGAGATTACCATGGTACACATATTTTATGCACTTCTTATGCATGAACAATTGCTCCTCTAATTGTTTTAGGAAAATCTTTTGTCTTCATTGCTTACTATATATATATATATGTGTGTGTGTGTGTGTGTGTGACGTGCAGAAACACATGAAAACATTACTTACTATTTTTCACTTCATTGATTTTTAACTTACACATAGCTGATCTGCTGATTTTTTATGGTTTAATACTTAAAACGGTTTAATCATCTCCTGGGTCGCTGCTAGGGGTTCACTGAATCCAGTCTGTTTCCATGAAGGGAACAAAGCTTATTGTTTTCTTATCATCTATTTATTTTCACTCCAGCAGTGTATTGTTTGTTGCTTTTTCATTTGTCCAAAACGAAAATGTCACCGACATAATATATGGTGTGAAGAATGTTATTGACCTAAGTAGCGGGAATGGATTCAAGATATATACGAATGATACATTTTTAATACAAGTTTATTGGTTTAGTGGCAAGATGTCCCCACCCCAGCAGCTGTCTGATATTATGTCGGTAAAGTTGAGTTCCCTTATTTAGCTATGACATATATATCAAATTAGTAGTGCATGCTTTTTAAATTTGTTGAATACAAAATACTTTATTGATAGTACGGGGAAAGGCTGATTGAATAAAAGAAATAGCATTATTTTTATGAGCAACCCTGTATCACTTCAGTTATTAAATAGACTGCATGCCTACAACTTCTTTCTTGCCCATCTCTTCACTTTGCCTTTCCTCGACTATATCTTTAACATGGATAGTAAAATTCAGTTAGAATGCACCGAATGAATGCAAAAAGTTTAATTGCAAAGGATAATCTTATGTGTGTTGTGACGTTGTCTATTAAGTTGCCAAATAGGCAGTCCTTTTGCATTAATACGAGTAATGCAGTGCATACTTTGTTTCCCTCCTCTATTTGGTATTTTCATTTTTTAAACTTATCCCTATCTTTTAGCTTTCCGCAGGAGCATATGAGCTAATTAATAGTTGCTTACGTGATTTACGGCTTGTTTTGTATACAAATACGATGATCATAATCATGAAGCACTGGCAAATCAATAATGAATGGCACAGTAATAATATTATTGTTTTATCTAGAATCCACTAGCTTTCCTGTTGACTCTTTTCTACAAGAAAATCATTTTGCTTCTTAATAATGTTTCAGGTTGGTGTTCTATCAGCTTGCAGTCATATGGGCTTGACAGACAGGGGTACTGAATATTTTCATTCAATGGATAAGAATTATGGTGTAAAACCAAATTCAAAACATTATACTTGCATGATCGATCTTCTTGGTAGAGCAGGTCGTCTGGAAGAAGCGCAGAACGTAATCCGAAACATGCCTTTTGAGCCAGATGTTGCAACATGGGGAGCTCTATTGGGTGCAAGCCGAATTCATGGCAATATGGAGCTGGGTGAGAAGGCTGCTGAGATGGTTTTCAAGATGGAACCTCATAACTCGGGAATGTATGTTCTTCTTTCAAATTTATATGCAGCTTCTGGGAGATGGGTCGATGTTAGTAAAATGAGATTGAAAATGAGGGAAGTTGGTGTTCAGAAAACACCAGGGTATAGTTGGGTTGAGGTACATAACAAGATTCATACATTCACAGTTGGGGATTGTTTTCACCCAGAGAAAGGTAGAATATATGCCTTCGTAGAAGAGTTAGATTTAAAAATGAAACAAGACGGGTATGTTCCTTCAACAAAATTGGTCTTGCATGATGTGGAAGAGGAGGAGAAGAAGCATATGCTAAAGTATCACAGTGAGAAATTAGCTGTAGCATTTGGAATTCTAGCTATACCGGCTGCTAGACCAATACGTGTCATGAAAAACTTGCGAGTGTGTGAAGACTGTCATAATGCCATCAAACACATATCCAACATTGTTGGAAGGTTGATAATCGTAAGGGATTCTCATCGATTTCATCACTTTAGCGAGGGTATTTGTTCATGTGGGGATTACTGGTAACAGTGTGAAATGTGATGAAAATTAACCTAATCGTAAGTACAAATTACCCTCCCTTGAATTAAATAAATATCAAACATTTTGTCATGACGGATAAATAATCATTAACCAAATGAATAAAATAACAAAACTAAGATTGATAAAGTTTTTATTTGAAACAATCAAAGTAAGTTGTACTGTTCTCCTTGAGAAATGAGAAATGATTGAATTGTACTTTATTTTTAAAGTTTTGAAGAAAAGAAAAACGTGCTATATTTTGATAAGAGGATCAAGGTATTTTCCCTCTTTTCGCTACACTGAATATTTGTTATAGGTATTTTTGAATGGAGAAATTGAAATAATATTATGGGAAAATTATCCATTCATTGTTCGATCCAAGAACTTAATGATCGAAGCTTTTTTTTTCTAACTTTTTATCAATTTTGAATAGAAAGACGGAGAAGTTCTAAACAGATCAACTCCAGACTGAGACTTCAACCAAAGTCTTTATTTTATATTTTAGAATTCCAAAATTGATATTCATATGGGTTAAAACAGTTGCCAGATACGTAATCGTTGTCTTTATGATCAACAAGTTGATGCATGTTAATTAAAACAGAGCGCTTGGAATCATAATACCTGGACCGGGTAGTTAGTATGTAGATGATTTAAGACTTTTAATATAATGCACGCCAAGTATGGTCTATTTTGTGAGACACCTGCGTATTTGTAACTCACGTTATGTTTCTACTAATAGTTGTAGTTATAGGAGTAAAAGACGAAGCAGAAGCAGTACATCTTCATCCACCACCACCAACTCCGTCAAAGTCAAAGACCCTGACATTGTCACATGGACCAAGGTCATTTCTTCCCACATGCGCAATGGCCACTACGACTCTGCTCTCCGTGTTTTCAACTCCATGCCTCGCCGCAGCTCTGTCTCCTACAACGCCATGATATCTGGGTACCTGAGGAACGCAAAGTTCTCCCTCGCAAGGGATCTGTTTGATAAAATGCCCGAGAGGGACTTGTTTTCCTGTAATGTTATGCTCACTGGATATGCCAGGAACCACAGGCTCGGCGAGGCCCGCAAGTTGTTTGACCTGATGCCTGAAAAGGATGTTGTTTCCTGGAATGCCATGTTGTCTGGGTATGCCCAGAATGGGTTTGTTGATGAGGCAAGAGAGGTTTTTAATAGGATGTCTCATAGGAATTCCATCTCCTAGAATGGGCTGCTTGCAGCTTATGTTCATAATGGGAGACTTGAGGAGGCTCGTCAATTGGTTGAGTCTCAATCGAACTGGGAATTGATTTCTTGGAATTGTTTGATGGGTGGGTATGTGAAGAGAAACATGTTGAGTGATGCTAGGCTGATTTTTGACCAAATGCCTGTTAGGAATGTCATCTCCTGGAACACTATGATTTCTGGTTATGCCCAGGTTGGAGATTTGTCTCAGGCTAAGAGGTTAATCTCCAATTCGGGACGTGTTCACATGGACAGCGATGGTGTCTGGATATGTGCAGAACGGAATGATGGATGAAGCAGGAAAATATTTTGATGAGATGCCTCTAAAAAATGAAATTTCATACAATGCAATGCTTGCAGGCAATGTGCAAGACAAGAAAATGGACATTGCAAGGGAGTTCTTTGAGGCAATGCCTTGTCGGAAGATAATTTCATGGACTACCATGATTACTGGCTATTGTCAGAATGGTGGTATAGCACAAGCTAGAAAATTGTTTGATGTAATGCCTCAGCGCAATTGTGTTTCTTGGGCAGCTATCATTGCTGGCTATGCTCAGAATGAACACTTTGAGGAGGCTCTTAACATGTTTGTGGAGATGAAACGAGATGGGGAAAATTCAAATAGGTCTACTTTTAGTTGTGTTTTGAGCACATGTGCTGATATTGCTGCCTTGGAGTTGGGGAAACAAGTTCATGGATAAGTGGTGAAGGCAGGATTTGAGACTGGGTGTTTTGTGGGAAATGCGCTTCTTGGGATGTATTTTAAATGTGACAGCACAGATGAAGCTAATAATGTGTTTGAAGGAATAGAGGAGAAAGATGTCGTCTCTTGGAACATTAAGATAGCTGGTTATGCTAGGCATGAATTTGGTAGACAGGCTTTAATTTTATTCGAATCAAAGAAGAAAGCAGGTGTTAAACCTGATGAGATTACAATGGTATGCATTCGTAAGCATTTAGATTTTTCATTTAGAACTTCTTGTTTGCATGAGTTTCTACTGATTTATCCAGTTATGTGCATGTATGAACCGGTACCATCAGTACTTCATATTTTATCCTGTTTGGTTTCTAGGGGGTATAAGCTTGGGAAGTGTGAATTGGAAAGGTTTGGGCTGGAATTAGATTGGTGATTGGAAAAGACTTGGAACGCTAAGGAGTTAAGTGGTGGGACATGTAGGAAGAGTGATAAGTTTTTTTTACTTTCAATCTATTGCAAAATAGTACTTAATTCTTATTTGTATTTATTTATATACAATACAATTTTTAAGAATACAATTATGTTTTGTTATACTTTTTTTTACTTTCTTTTTAATTCTCCTATGCACTTATTATAAAATCTGATGTTAAATTATTGAAATCTGTAAGCTTTTTTTTATCAGTAAATATTAGTGATAATATTTCCATTTAAAATAAAACAATGACTAGTTTGGATCTAAAAGTTTAATGCACAGTATATCAAGTGTTCAACGTTAATCATTAATGTATAAATTCTCTCTATAATTGAAAAGACAATAGATAAGGTTATTTTTATATCAAACGAGTATTTATGTTATAACTTATAAACTGTAAATAAAATCTTTTGAAAACAAATCATTCTTTTACTTTCGAGCATTTATAACCGGCATGCTTTGAATCGATTATATAGGGTGGTCTAATTGAGTTTGGAGCAACCATTATCCATTTTAATTGGTCAATGATTAATTTAATATTTATCTATTATAGAATTTAAAGTATAAATAAGGATGATAAATTTGAAGAAGATCCAATGGTTTCTAGACTTCCCTTTCAATCTACAAGAGGCGATGCGACTCTTCATGGAAAGGGAGCTAATAATTATTACAATGAGGCCACCAAACAACGACAGACAGCGGAAGAGCATGTTTTGCTAACATTCATAATAAAATAAAGTACACATTGCGTTTTCCGTTTTCCGTACACAAAAAGGCATTTCACGACATGACGAACGAACTCAGTCCTAACGGAAGCTTCTAGCACTAGCAACAGTGCTTCAAACAACCGTCACCACCCCTTTCTATTTGTGGAAAATATCAAAGCATGGAAGGAAGGAACGAAGCAACACCAAAATCGTACTCAACCGTGGAGGGCTGCACCATCACCTGTCACTCCATCACTGCATCCACCGTCTCATCATTTATCTCCCTAATTGCCTCTTGCTAATGCAAAGCAAATAAAAAAACACATCAGTATATTTTATTCACAACACAAATAAACCTCCAACTGAGAACAAATTATTATGACGTCCAAAACCATGTGGTTCCAACTTCCAACCTATCTTTTTCTAACACTTTTTTTATAAAGATTGGTTGGAATCTCATGTTCTTAAACCATATAACCATGCACTTCAAAAGATAGACATAGAGTTAGCTACCTCTGAATCTTTATTTTGTTTCACAACTACACACTTTGAACCACTAATACTGGCACTCTTTAACAAACTGCGAGCACTGTAGTTTGGTTTGGAGGTTCCATTTTGAGCACTGGTCGTATCAGACCCTGGAGGACTCTGTAGATTTGATCCACTTGGCTTTTCAAAATCGCTGTTTTCTTCACTTTCATCCTTGGGAGCACAAACTCTCTCTCTGCATAAAGTGAAATTGAGTATAACTCTCACAGTACCATAGAAAACATTGGCAGGCTGGTCTGACAAACTCATCTTTGAACAGACATTCATAATCTGGATTTAAGATTAAAATCCATGAGGGTAATAAAAAATATGAAACAAATGAAATCTCCAAAAGAACAAGACAGAGGCTGCTTAATGTGCAAGTTGTCAATCCAATTTTTGAACATGATGGACAAGTGTGAACGAAATGTTTAACCAAGACTTGCCTAGGTAAGGAGGCGTGCTGTCTCTGCAATGGAGTGCTTCGTTCACCTTTCCCATAATGCTCCTCAAGATGTGCAAACTGTCTTTTGAACCGATCAACCCCACTATGCAACAAGATACCACAGAATTACCAACTAATAACCAAAACGAGGAAAGTTTAACTCTGAAGAACCTCACATTCCATGTTAGAGTTCTTAGATGACATGCAGAACGTAAATGGAAAACTAACCACCAGAAATTTCGCATTGAGTAAAAAATTTAACTCTATAAGGAAATAAGATTTTGAAAGTATTTGCTAAAAAGTAAAAAATAAAAAATGAGCATAGTGGCAACAACAATAAATGCAAGCAGGGGTTCCTGTAACAGTTATAAAATTAGGTGTTTGTGAACATTATACAGTAAAAGTTGGCTTAGTATGTTTTTAGTTCTGAAGAACTACTGTTTGTCCCTTGTAACAGGACAATAAACAGTGCTTTGATGTAAGCACGTAGCTTTCAGTAAAATTTAGCACATCTACCTTGGATACATGAAGCTAGTTTGATCTCCACCACGAAGATACTCCTGGAGCATTTGGGGATGATACTCCAAAATCTGTTCACTTGAAATATTTGAAGAATTATTACCACGGGACAAATAGTAGAAGACCATTAATTGAAGCAGGAGTGACATAAATGCACTACGATCATACCTCTCGATAAATCAACTCTCTAACATCATCTTTGGTCAATTTCCTTCTCTCAAATTCAAACTCAATTTTTGAAATGGGTTGTGTGGAAGGTTCACGGTCTATGTTCGCCAAACCAATGAAGTAAGGATCAGCTAATGCCTGAAATCACAAGTATATCAGAGATAATTTAATACCCTCTTAGGTAATTAACAGTGAAATTTCCCCTTTGGGATAAATAGGCGAACAACCTCTTCAGCTGATGGACGGTCTTTAGGATCAAATGCAAGTAGGCGCTCCAGAAGACGAAGAGCCAATGGATCTGCATTTGGAAATTTTTGGGAAAGTGGAACTGGTTGCTTTTTTCTCATGCCATTGAGATACCTTTTAGCCTTTTCATTTCGAATCTGCAAAATTAAGATTAAAAATTTATAAGCTTGGAGCATATTGTATAGATTACAGAAAGCCATAAGGTGTATCTTAAAAACATAAAACAGGATAAATTTTTAAAACAAGAACATCGGAAATATAGAATTACTTCAACTACACCATGTCACAACGAAAGCCTGACTTACTGATTTCAGAAAACTTCAAATTATATTTTGATATACTAACCCTTGCAATGGACTCGGGAGGAGGAGTGCCAAGCAAATCAGTCATGAGATCCAATTGGTGCACTACATTTTTCCCAGGAAACAATGGCTTCCCAGTGAGCATTTCTGCAAATATGCATCCAATGCTCCATATATCAATTGCAGGGGTGTACTGCAAAAGACGAGAATTTAAAAATTGCAAGCTCGTTTCAACACACCAAGTGTGTTCAATAGCTGATATCATATACAACTGAAGAAAGGATGTTGTCAAAAGAAATGTAGAAGCTTACTTTTGAGAAAAAAGAACCACATAATTCCGGTGCACGGTACCACCGAGTTGCAACATAATCCTTATTCAAAGTAAAAATAAGTCAGCGGCAGGTTTAGGGAGAAACCTAGATTGCAATTTGCAATTTCCCCACTCAAAAACATGAAAATCAGAAAGCGCATAATTGATAATTGTAACAGTTCAACATGGTCACACAATGGTGTACTCACAGTCCAGAATATAGCTGATGGAGCATCATTGAATGAAACTCGAGCAAGCCCAAAATCGCAAATTTTTAGTTTGCAGTCAGCGTTAGCAAGAATATTTTTTGGCTTCAAATCACGATGAAACACGTTTGCTGAAAGAAAAACACTACACTAGTTTAAAATCACTATCTGAAACAATCAAGGATCAAGTTCTGAAAAAGGATACAATACCTGTATGAATATATTTCAGGCCCCTAAGAAGTTGGTACAAGAAGAACTGGTGGTGCTCAGGAGTAAGATCATCATTGGCCTTGATTACTTGATGGAGATCAGATTCCATCAACTCAAACACAACATAGATATCCCTGAACTCTCTCCGGGAAGGAGGAAGCATAATATGCTTAATTTCCACGATATCAGGATGCCTAAGCAACCGCAAGAGCTTAATTTCTCTAAGGATCCGTGTGGCATCGGATACATGCTCAAAAACATCATTAATTTTCTTGATTGCAACCCTTTCACCGGTGTGAGCATCAACGGCAGAACCCACAACACCGTAACTTCCTTTTCCAACAACCTCTTGAATTTGGTATTGACTTGCCTCTCCATACTCAGTAAAAAACTCTGCCTCTGGGGCACCCTGATTGATAACCAGAAATCATAAGAAACACTATTTGAAGATTATAACTTAATCTGATCTTTTCTTTTGACCTACAACAATCGCTATGGTAACGTGAGAAACACAGCAAGAAATCCATCAAGAAAGAACACAATAGTCACAGAAACTGACAATGCCAAGAAATTCGGTACTTTATCGTCAAAAGCAGAACAAAACACCGCAGAATTATTGTTTTTCATTTCTCACGTGTTTCCTGCATCCAAGGCAATCTTGTTCAGATAATATCATATATTAAACGTGGATAATTTTTTTCTCATCAGTGATTCAAATCATGATTCGACTTGCTCTAAGATATTAATCCCCTCTGGTCGGTACACCACCCCCATCTAGCTAGTACTTTAAGAAAAGTGACTAGGGAAGGAATTAATCAAAATCATGCCAAACTATGCCTCTTCTCTTCTGCATCAGGTAATTGTTTGATGCCCTGGCATCTTGTTCGAGAGAGATAGAGAAAGAAAAAAAAAACAAAAAAAGGTACAACCAAATTGATCGAGCAAACGTAAGACAAAGCAACAATCACACAAGAAGATAAACAAGTGGAATGAAAAAAAAAAAGAGCATTACCCAATAGAATAAGTGAAACAGAAAAGGAAAAGACAAGCGAAAGAGAAGGCCTTCGAAAAAAGAGAAGATGGGGCGATGAACAAGTGAACCTTTTTGTGATGATCCATGGCAGAGGGTCTGAAGGGGATTTGTGCCGGGACTTTGATGGGCTTCAAGGTAGAGAAATCGAAATCAGGGTCGACAATGAGGTCGTGGTTGGGAATGGAAGCCAATTGCGAGCGCAAATCTCTCACGTGGACGCGGCTATTGTTGGCATTGTGTTGGTTCTCAGCACTAGAAGCGCGTCGTTGAAAGAAGCGTCGAAGCCCTTCCACGAGCGTTCCTCCACCACCCATGTATATCAATACACATAGATTATTACAACTTCACTCTTTCTTTGATCGCCTTTGACTCAATCCAACACACCCCACACACTCTTTATGCGTTTCCTTCTTCTCTTTCTCTCTGCTACCTCAACTCAGTTCATCACAACCAAACCAAACACCCCCTTTGATTTATTATTTATTTATTATTATTCTCTGTGTTATGTTTTTTTAATTATATTAGTTCAACTAACTCCTCTGGTTTACTTTTCGGTTTCTCCCCCTCCCATTTTTCTTATAAAACTATAGTTTATTATTATTATTATTATTATTTATTTTTGCCCCTTTTTTTGTTTATCCATAACAATTCACACACCCAATATGATGATTGACAGAGTTATGCAGAATTAAGAGAAAGAAACTAAAGAAAGATGGCAGCTTTTGCTTTAGACAGAGATGATATTACAGGGTGTACCATATTTAACTGAATGTTTTCTTAGACACACAGAGATCATGGAAGTGTGTTACATGGTCTTGCTATGTTGTGTTAAGGTGGTAATTACTTACTTGGCTTTCAAAACAAGGTTGAATGCTGCAGTGGCGTGACGTGTTTGTAACCAAGGATTACGATTTGGATTTGTAAGATTTTTTTAATGATTGTTACTGCATAACTTTTTTTTCATAAATTTGATTGAGAAGAAAATAAATACAATAATAATGGTATGAAATGTTAAGAATTATGATAAAAATATGGTGTTAATAATATCAAGTGTTGTATGTCTTAATAAAAGTTGTTTCTCACTTCTTAATTATTATCCTGAAAACAATGCCAAAGACAAGAAGTAACAATGTCGTTTTTTTAATATTTTGTATTTTTTTTTATTTTCATGATTATAATATTTTATATATTTATCATATAACCAAATTTTTTGAAAAAATAAATATAACTTGTTATATATAAGTGAACCGAAAGATTAAAAAATGAGAAATAATAAATTAGACAAATATATATATATATATATATATATAATTATAATGGTCATGATTTATATATTTTTTTAAAAATATATATGATCTAAATTAAATCAGAATAATTTATTTAAATCATGATTTATGTATATTTAAGTTAGACTAAGTTTATCAATAATTTATTTTATAAAATAATAATAATTTTGTAGATAAAAATAAAATTATTTTATTTTATTAAAATATATATCTATGTATATATATTATAAATTAATTTAAAAATTTACTTATTTTAAAGGTAAATATTTAAAATAAATATTTAATAATTATTTATTTTAAGATTTAACAATTAAAATTAATTATTATTTTAAATTAATAAATTATTAAAAAATAATAATAATAATAATAACTAAATTTTTATTTTTTATTTTAAAATTAAATTAATACATTTTCTTATAATTTATATATTATTGATAAAAAAAATTTTATTTAATTTTTTAATTAATTAATTATATATATATATATATATATATTAATATTTTCTACAAAATTAATCAAGTCAAAATTAGTTCGTTAGGTTAATATAAGATTAAATTAAATTAAAAATTTCAATCTATTTTAAAATATTGATTAAGTTGAACTATTAATTTTTTTTCCTATTTTATCCATAAATCAGGAGAGGTTGGACTGAATTATCTATTTTAATAGTTCAAGATATCGTATTTATTAATAAATGAAAAAATATCTATTAAATATCATTAAAATAATTTAAATACAATACAGTAGCAATATTAAAAAACTAAAAATTAAAATATTACAGTTTATTTTCTTCCACTGATTTTAAGAGATTACAGCAAAATGGATAAAGGTTGTGGTTTTAATAGAACTAAAAAAACTGAGGTTTTGTAAATATTGTGTATTAAAACAACTAAATAATTACTAGCAATATTAAATCATTGCTAAAATATATATTAAAACAATAATATGTGAAACACCGAAAAAAGTAAAATGATAAAAAAAGTCACATGCATTGTATGGTCTGTTTGGCAAGATATACTTTTAAAAATTGATAGAACAGCTTTTGACTTTGTCTTAATGTTGTTAGCTTTCAATTCAATAAATCAAGACAACAATTATTGGACGCATTTTGAAATGCCAATCCAATTTTGAAACGTAACATCATCTCCTACGTCACAAACATTCACATTTTCAAATTTTACAATATATTAATACATATATGATATTTTTTTAATTGTGGTTGCCCTTATTAAAAAATTGTATACATGTATTTGTTTATTTTGATTATAAAAAAATCAAATTGATCTTTGAATGTAGGAGGTTTTCTTAAAAAAAATATTCATTTTACCAAAAAAATATTACATTTTATTTTTTATGTTTCACAAAATTATTTTATCATTAAAATATAATTTTAGGAGAAAAAAATTAAGATTCAACCGCTTCCATTAAATTTAATAAAATAATATTTTTATAATATAATAAATATACAAAAATTTAATAAAAATATTATTTTTTACAAAATAAAAAAATCAAGAACAAATATTATCTAATTATAGTTACAGTAAATTATAACGATATTAGAGAATATAAAATAAATAATTGTTAAAGTAAAATAAAAATACGATAAATTATTATTATTTTTGATGTAATTAATATTAGATAAATAAATTAAAATGCATTATATTTTTATAAAATATATATTAATAAAAAATGGTTTTTATTTTTTTTATTAAACAAATAAAAACTCATCAAAAAATTTCGATTTTGTATAATTTAATTAAAATTTGGTTATTTAAAAATAATGTTACGCTTTTAAACGGATTGAATACGTGTGGTTGATTTTGCAAATGAGTGATTATTCCATCATGTATCAATTTGAATTTTTTTACATGAAGAAATCAATGATTGTTTTATAGGTTCAACTAAAGATATTCATATTGCGACGAAGATTTAAATTTTTGTAGGATATATCACGCATATTTTTTTACTTAAGAAGCTCAATGTTTTATAATTAATAAATAAGTATTATTTTAATAAATTAGATGAAGGACTTGTTTTATTGTATGATAGTTAGTCTAAAATAAATGAAACATTTTATATTTCCCAAACAAATAACCTATTTTTATATTTTCAGGTAACTAACAAATGAAATAATTTATTTAACAAAGAAACAATAGACAAGTTTGGCATGCAAGTTTTTGAACCCCAATATTCGAGGGAAACAAAAATTTTATGCCTAAAACGAAATTAAAAGGCTCGAGTCCATAATGAAGCCCAAACAAAAATTACAAATAAGAAAGAAGCCCACGGACCCAATATGAAAAATACAACTAAAGCCTGAACTACAAATTTACAATTAAAATCTGATAAAAATACAATACAAATCAAATAATATATACTAAACGCCCAAAAATACAAAATCCAGCCCAATGTTAAACTTGCTCCAAGCCAGGCCCAAATAGTTTGCAAAAGTATAAAATAAAAATAAAAATAGGTGACAAGAAAAATAGGGAAAAAAATGATAATTTATTAATAATTATATGGAATATGAACAAGAAAACAAGGAACTGGAGAAAAGAAACTAAACTAAAATAAAATAAACTAACATTTCACTCTCAATAGTGTGTTCATATATTATATTAATTGTTCTTTTAATTATACAATTGTTTTCGGTGAAAATTTGATCGATTTCGATTTTTAGGAGACCTAGGTTCTAATCAAATTTCAACCACGTAGATTCTTTTTACTTAGACTAGCAAACAGTTTTCAATCGAAACATGTATAAGAATCGAAAATACCATAGTGTCGAGAAATGCAATATATCACACAGATTGACAATCAAAAGTACTCTTTTTGATATTTTTATTAAGAAACGGGAAGTAAAGGAAGCAGTAAAACGCATCGAAAATGAAAGGCAGTACATAATATTAAATTACAGAGAGAAATGTAAATGCAGAAACCTCAAAATTGAGAAATGTAAATGGCGGGAATCGAAAATTCGTGAAAGTAATATAGCAGGGAATCGAGATTGCAGTAGTGTAAATGGCAAAGAACTTAAACGCAGAATCTTAACTTGCATAAAGATAAAAATGACAAGGAATTGAAAAGACAGAAACTGAAAGTTGATAAACGTAAATTGCATGAAAGTAAATTACCAGGGAAAGTAAAGAAAGCGATAAAGACAATCAATGAAAATAGAAATCCAGATCGCCAGAAACTTCATGATTCGTCGTTTCTCCGGTGGACTTTTCACTTGTGTTTCTGCTGTCTCTGCCAATTTCCCTTTCTTCTTCAGGCTTCATTCTATTTATAGGCATCCTTCAATGTAACCTCCCAAGAGCAGTTAAAAAAATGTCCCCACGTTCCATGTGCATTTTAACCGTTCATCGATTTCTAACCTTAGCTTACGGTGTAGAAAACCGCTTCCACGTTCCATGTGCATGATAATCATTTCCCTCGATCTCGATTCCAATTATCAAGTACGATTTCTCTTAACATTGACTTTACACTATACTTTATCATTACTTTCATCGGTTTGTTTCTCTCTTTTCTGATTCTCGATTTCCATTCTCGATTTATATGTTTATACTATCTCGTGGTCACCGGGTGTCTTCCAACCATCTTTTCGTTTTATCAACTTTTTAACCAATCATATGATCTTCGATTTTCTCTCTTTTGTTTTTCGATCCTTGTATCGATTTTTCACTAACAAAATGTCCCCTTGAAAGAATATAAATATTTGTATCAATTTTATATTCTTTCAAAAATAACTCCCGCCCTAAAACGTTCTTGAAGCTCGAAGTAACTTTTTAGGGTTTAGGGTTTCTAGGGTTTTTTAGCATTTTTAGGTTGTTTTTTGCTTTTATGTCAAATATCAAATCACATCACCTCTCCCGTCACAATCGCGCACACCGCGTATTAATTACCCTCTTCACATTCGTCGTTTCAAATACCCTAGTCGGCCTCTTTAAATCCTCTTATCAGTTTTTTACCCTTGTTTTTTACCACAAACTTCACCTTCTTCTCCTTCATTGCACCTCTTCTTTGTC